CCCCAAAACCCCAAAACCCCAAAACCCCAAAACCCCAAAGGCCTAATTTTATTAGAATTATTTACTTTATCAATATAATGAAAAATCATGAAATTAAAATAATTAGCCATTTAAATAATCATAACTTGTTTTTATTATAACCTCCACCAACACTATATTTAACTTTTACAAGCATATTGTTTTTATTTGAATTCCCCCCTTAGATGAAACTTGCTTATGAGGCCGTAGTAATCTCTTTATCTTTTACAAATCTGTCAATCTATTCTTATTAAAATATCTATGGTTAAGCCTGGAAAATCTTGCATATACCTCTAAAAAACACATCTCCTCCCTTATTAGTAAGCGAAGATATTTTACCAAGGTATTTTTGAAGCTCAAGTAGTCTATCTGTACTTTTTTACATTTATAGTCTAAATGTTGCTTATTCATCATCATCAAGAACTCCACTATTCAATAGAATCTCATTTAGATAACCTGAGCTAATCATTTATTCTATCTTCTGCAGGAATTCAATGAAAAACTGAAACAGCTCGTAGAGATCTGTTTACGTATCACAATCAATCATAGTAACTGAGAGTTTTGTGACATTAATCTTACCTTTACGAATTTCTGGAATCCTTTCAAGAGTGTTAGCTGATATGAGTTACTCATTTGACATCATTTCAGTTCCTTCTCTCTTACCATAAACACTTTTTTATATCAAATTACGACCCTAATTATAACTTGCATCAGAAATAGGAGTTTAAGCTCTAGAATCTTCCTTAAATTTACTGTTGCTGTTGATTTTATTTTGACCTCTATCGATTAATTAAGCTTTAATTGGGGTTTCCCTTGATTATTAATTTTTGCTGACTTCAATTTTAGGTTTAGTCTATTAAATTTTAGGTTTCTGGGTCTGTTCAAGATTGATAATATCTTAACTTCTTAATGTCGCTCTTCTTTTATGGTTAGGCTGTTCTGACTGAAGTCTTGAAGATTTGATATCTTTTTTATCTTATTGAGCTTCTTAATTTGGAGAATCTTGTACATTGAAATCACTTTATCGCTTACTCATTAAATTTGATGATCTCTCAATTGAATTAATACTTTGATTACTTTACTTTGATTTATTCATTTACTGATGAATAGCTTACTTAATCTTATTATTTATGAACTCTTATGTTTCCTTTTCTTTTTACATTTAAATATATTCATTGAATCCATTACCTACTAAATCAGTATTAATAGACACTTCTCGATGATTAGCTTGCTTTAATCTACTATGTATCTCTTATCTCCTTTAATCAAATCCTGCTGAACCTCTTCCACTTATCTCGGCAGTTTAAGTAATACTTTTACTTAAACTTTGCTATTTAGAATCTTCAACTTCTTTAAGAAATTCTTCAAGTCTGCCAACTTTCATTAATTTTTTTTCAGCTTTCCTTAATTCTCTGATTTTCTATTGATAATCTGCTTTTGACTATTTTAATTCAAATCTAAAATCATGATCATTTTACCTTAGATATTCTATCTGTTTTTCCTGTATCTAAATTTATTTGGTTTATTTTTCTATTGTCTATTTCATTTAAACTACCTCAGCGTACATATTTTAGAATTTCTTTTCATTTTAGAATATTTAAAAGTTTTAGTAATCATTTTCACTATTTTTTTGAACAACCTTAGACTCTAATGATTAAAGTTATTCTTTTAAATCTCTCAACTAAGTCAAAAGTGAAACTTTCTCATTATATGCTTTATTATTTTCATCATGAAGCTAATTAATAATAGAATCCTAGACCCTAATAGTTCCCTCTTAATCGCTTATTTTCTTACTCATATCATCAATCTACACCATAATAACTTGTCGATACTCTTCTTAATTGCATTAAATTTCCTAGTCTTTGTATTGAATATTCTTAACAAATCTTTATGCTACTTTTTTGGCTGTTTCTAATTAAGCTGATTTTAACTTTGTTGTAATGTCTGAATGAAAGTACTTGAAAGCATGAGTATTGATGTTCTATTCTTGTGATTCACTAAAATATTTGGCTTGATCTTAAAAGGTCTGCATTAATTGATACAGCTCATCCAGAGATTAAGTCACACCAGAAAACTGAAATTTTTTTATTCTTTCTTTGGAATAGGCAAGCTTTTAAAGTTATTCCATAACATTGTCCTATTTAAGGAAATCATCTACTTGCTTTATGAATTCCTCTCTATCATCTTATTAGTAACCCTATGCATATAGTTTTGAAAGAATATCTTATTTAGTCTTCTCAGTCTTCAGCTAAATAACTAATTCACTCTGCTCATGGATCTATTCACTTAGCTAGGTTAATCTAATCTCTGTTCTTTGTAAAAATGTTTGACTAAATGTCAATAACTTTTCATTATTCTGTTTTAGTTTTTCTAGAATATAATTAATATAGGAACTAACATTAGCGTCTAATCTTCTCCCTTTTTAACTCATAAACTTTGTTAGGTTATCAAATAGTATCTTAGATGTATCTTTCATCATTTCAATTTAGTTTTGCTCTGATTGCTCCTTATTTGTCTTATAGTTTTAAACGTCGTATTTTTGTAATATTTAATAATCCTATTCCTATAGTTCATCTTTTAGCTTTTCCACAACCTTCTCAAACTCTGATGTTTTTACTGTTTTATCTTGTGTGTATCTCTGAGAAAGCTGAAAATTTTTAATTCTCTTAATATCTTCATTATATTGAGTCCTAGTAAATGAATGTCTTCCTTAAGACACTTCTCTGATTTTTAATCTCTCATTTTAGAATAACTGAGTTGAGTTTCTCATCATGTTCATGTTGTAAGCATCTTAGTATTATTTATATTCTTCAGAAAAGAATTTGTGGTATGCTGCAGAATTCTTAGTTTCGCTGTTAGAATGATACCTTTCAGTGATCTATTATGTACTCATGTCAAATGTTGAAGTATTTAGCCTATTGGAAATAAAGCTTTTCTCATATCCCACCGGAAGATAATTCTTTGGTATTAATTGATGATCAAAGGCGCTGATTTCAATTGGCAGATGCTGTGCAAATTTCTATATTTTACCAGTGCTCTCATATGTTTATGAACTTCAAAGATCTACTTATGTTTTTCTCAATTAAACTTGTATTTTTTCATTCTTCGACTTCTTGATTATATCTTTGAGTTTATTTCGAGATTAATTTAATTGCTCTTGATCTGCTTGAGTATCACATGACTTATCAAACTTAAGTTGTGCTTTCATTAGATTATCCGAATAAAATTTATAATTCAGAATTTTTAATAATTTAATTAATATTAATATGGAATCTCTAGGTAAAAGAAATCAAAGATTACATGATTCAGATGATGACAGAGATGGAAGTAATTAACATGATGAATCTAAATCATCCAAAAATGATGATTCTAATGAACCAAGAAATTTCAAAAGACAAAGGCATGATAGCTCAGATGAAAATAGTGAAGAAAATTCATAGGATCGAAATCCTATTGTTGAGGATGAAGGAGATCTATATGAAAATGAAATGATGAAGTTGTATTAGGAAGCATAAAATTAATTAATGCAAGAGGATGAATTATTCAAAAATATGTCAAATGCAGAAATCTAAAGAATTCTCAATGAAAATGAGTTTGAGGAAGTTAAGTTAGAGAAAAACTCAATTAAAAAAATGATCGCAAAGCTTAGATAAGCATTAAATGAAAACTTGGAAAAAAGAATACAAAATTAAAACGAACCTGAAGGATTTCTAGAATCTGAAGCTGATCTTCACGCATCACTAAAGGAGGTTCAAGTTATTAGTGCATTTCCTCAATACATTTCTGAGTTTATTGAAAACGAGGGTATTCAACTTTTAATTGAAATATTAGATCATTAGAATCCAGATATCAACACCGAAAGTATGACTTTACTTGTTGAATTGACTGATGAGGAGATTCTGACTTCTAACCCTGATTTTAATAAGATAGTTGAGATTCTTATATAAAATGAGGTATGGAATTTTCTCGTTAGAGTTTTACAAAAATTAGATGACAATGAATCTGAGGAAAGACCTTAGATATTCAAATGCCTGAGTCTTATTGAGAATATTCTGGACTAAATGCCAAGTGAAGCAGCGAATAAACTTATGCACATTGATCCTTTGATCGACTGGTTCATAGTATTTTTGACTGAGGGTGACAGAAAATCTGAAAACTATCTATAAATTGCTGAACTTTTATTCTCAATTGTCTCATTTTCTCACAATGAATATAAGTCTAAATTCAATATAACACTTTAAGGATTGGAAAGATTATTAAGAGTTGTAAACAGATATAGAAAAGATTTTAAAATAGAATCTGAGGAAGAATTAGAGGCTATTGCTAATATTTTTGACACAATATCTGCTTTACTTCTAGTCCAAGAAAATCTTGACACTTTTAGAAAGATTGAAGCATTTGAGCTGCTTACCAGTCTGAGTAAAAAGTAAAAGCTCCTCAGAAGACATATAATAAAGGTTTTTGATTTTGCATTAGGAATTGCACCAGCTCTTGATAATAAAAAGAATTGCAGATATTTTGTTGACCATCAAGGACTTTCTATAATATTTGCATTCTTTATGCTAAAACAAGAAATTAAGGAAAAGAAGAAGAAAAAGAATTAAAATTAAGATACAATATTTGTTAGAGTTACTGCAGACGAAATTTAACAAGATGAAACAAGAATCCTTAACATAATAATATCCTTAATTCTAAATACTATTCCTGATGAATAGGAATCTGGAAAGGTAATACATGAAAGGGTATTATTTAAGTTTATTGAGAATGATTATGAGAAACTTTAAAGACTATTTGAGTTACACCTCAAATATTTCAGCTTGATTGAGGAATTCGATCTATCATAATTTCAATAAAAAGAAGAGATTGATTACCTAGTTGAAGATTATCAATTTAACATTTTAGAGTAAGTTGATTTCATAATTGGCTTTTTGATTAGCAGCAAGTCTGCAATTTAATTGAGTGATGCAGATCCAATTGATCATAAAATAAATGAATTTATAAAGCTAAATGGAATTAAAAAAGAATCGTTAAAGGAAGTACTGAGATTATCACTTGCTAGATAGAGTGATTTAGACGAAAAGCACTTGATTTACTAGCATACAGAAAATTTAATTAATTAATTACAATGATAAAATTATATTAAAGATAAATGAATTAAATGGAGCCCGGGGTTTTGGGGTTTTGGGGTTTTGGGG